TTGTCTTCTGCAACATACTGCATCTCAGGGCTCATCTACACACAGTGTTGCAACAGTTTAAATTAAGAAGTGACTTTTAGAAAGAATAGAAAGAAGTTTAAGTTAAGATGAAATAACCACTCTGAAACCAAAATAAGTGTCCACCTGGGGGTTTGTACCAGTTTAAGTAAAAAGGTGCAAATTTGTGTGTAGACTAGGTTTCAGTCAGCAACCAACTTTTTAGTGCTGCAAAGATGTTTGGTAACAACCTCGCTGCATGCAATCAAACTGAATTTATAAGTCTTATCCATTAAAAGGTGAAGACTAACAGGAAGATTAAATGGGAAAATATTTATTTCCTGTCAATGTAAATTACAAAGAAATACAAAAAATAAGTTTGTACAGAAAAAAACTATATATCACACACATGAAAATATAATACAGGAATTTACAGTTATAATAATAATTTGTTTAAATTAGAGCTATTAAATAAGGACAGGAAAATATAATCTTCTTGCTTACAATATAAGACCTTTCCAGAAACTTCAGGATGCTATTTAATTTCACATTTCCAGAAACAAATCTTTGAAGTGTTTATATTCCATTTTTGTGATGGACCATTTTTATACCTTCATGTCAGTCCCACCTTCCAAAGATATTTATGTTAGGAATGTGAAAGGGAAAAAAAATCAGTCAACCAGATCTTACAAATGAACTGATACTCATACATGAACTTAGAAGAGAGAATCTCTTTAGCTATATATAAAATGATCCAATCATTTTTCACCAGAAAGGTGAAAAAAATTCTATGTGGTCTAAACTGTTCACCCATAAATGAAGTGTATGTTCTGCTTGCTTAGAAACTGACATTTACTAATGCCAGCTCTTACCACTTACACAGCTTGGAAAATATCAGCAGCTTTAAAATTTAAGACAGTAATTAGTTACCCCATCCTGCTCTTTTACATACACCTGGCAACAACATAACTTTCTATTATCAGTAAGGCCAGTTTTTACATAGGAAATACTTAGGGCCAACCTAGATCTCTCCCAGCCAACTGGCAAAGAGCCAGCTACAATTGCAGCCATTCCACTTCACTGAGGTGTACAAAGGGAATGTAGAGGGGACTAGTGGTTTTAGCTATCAACATAGGCACATGCATTCTACACCCTCATAAGGGATAGCGGAGCAGTCATGCTTCCTCTCTGCATCCTCCAGAGTGTACTGGTGGGTGCCATATGTCTGTACTGGCCACAGTGCAAAATTGCAGCTATGCCACAATATAGCCCTAAGACGAGCCTTAGTGAATTACAGTACAGTGATGCTATCATTAGGAGTCTTCAAAATGCAATTATTAAAAGAATCCATACTCGGATGGCAATTGCTAAATAGGTATCACAGAAGTGTTTCCCTGTTCTACTGGCCTCTAATTAGAATGTGCATGACTGGGGTTAAGGGGAGGGATGTTTGCCTTGTTTTCATCGTCCTGCTCCGTAAGTGTCAGAAAATATGAAACTGTGTGGATTTTTTCTCCCCACTTTGGATGTTTGTTTCTGTTTTGGGAGGCTGGAGGAAGGCTAAGTCCTAAAATGATGGGTGGTGGATGTAGCATCAGAACCTAAAAAGACTAATTCAGTAAAGCACATAAACACATTCTTAACATTCAGCTTGGCTGGTTTAGGGCCTTTGTTAATAACGGGGCTGTGACTAGGTATGGGGTGGGAAATAACTAGATGTACTTATTGTTAGTTACATGCTCAAGGTTTGATTAGACCAAGCCTTGTTAAGCTGTTCAAATTGTAGGGGAGTGGGGGTGAAAGGAGGCACAAACAAGCCTTTCCCACAAGGCTTGTACCCTGGCCACAGGGAGGGCAATAGGAATCTAATGCTGTTGCTGCAGCTAGGCTCCCAGAGGCAATGCTAGACTCATTTGGGGTCATGTGGCCTGTGTGGGAGTGGCTCATGCTGTGCTCTTTCAAAAGGTGGTGCACAGGCTGGAGCCTTTGTGGCAGTGGGAAGTCCACTGTGCATCAAAGGGATAATTTAGCTCGTTAATTGTGGTTGGCGATATTAATACAATATTAGGAAAAGAGAGATTGCGGCTAATGGACAATTCTGTCATGGATTCAGCTGGGCAACTCTGGAACTTATTCATCACTTGATCGGGGGTATTGGCATTAGTGTGGTATAATCCTAACTCCTCAATCTGGGCATTTTGCTATCTCCAGAGATTGTATGTTGGGACTTACTTGTATACACAAGAGGATAGTTTCCTTGTTTATGCAAGGGGATCATACTCCATTGCATACTGGGTCCCCTCAGATGCAGGGTGGCTCGTTGTGTTGAGTGAGCATTGGAGCAACTATATAGATAGTTCATGATCTGTGATAGGCAGGCTGGGTTTGCAGGTGTGGTGCTATTGTTGTATTGTAAGTATTAAAGTAAATTGAAGTGATAGGATTTCTTTAAACATTTTCTTCCTATTAAAGCTGCAACCATTTAACTAACTCCAAGGTTGTGAGATGTGGAAATAATAGGCCTCGCCCAGAATGTTAATATTGCTACATTGTTAGGAAAGATTCTTAATCCAGTTTCTTAGATGTATAATTGCACAACTGAGCATTTTAAAGCAGGGACTAATATATGAACACTTAACATTTACAACAAACATCTGATGCTTAGAACTATATTCGCTCTCTGTTACAGCAGGTTGACAGTTTGGGTCTTACTCTGCAAATTCTTATGCCCCGCAGTGGGATATAAGCCCCCCAGGAGTAAGGGTGCAGGGTCAGTTTCCCCTTTACTAAAACATGGCTTTAAAGTACATATACAATATGCTGAATTAACTATAAGTGCAAGTATTGTGTTATGAACAGGCAAGTGAGCGCACACAGTCAAACATTGCTTTAGATATTCAGCTATTTGGATGGACAGTGGTAGCAATTTGTTTTGCTTTTCAATCTATTTTGGATTTGACTCGATTAGCACTTTTATAAAAATTCACACGCACTCCCATGCTAGTAACCTAAGCAAATTAAACCTATATTTTAAGGTACAATTTGTCTGTGCAACACCATATCCAATAAGTACAGCCTTTTCTAGCAATACTCAGTTAACAAAAATAGGCCAAATACATACAAATCAGATACTCTTTACCTCTGGCTTTCCCCTTCTGTCTTACCATTTTGTATTCAATCCTCTGTTTCAGTCACTTTGCTCCTTCTTGTACAGTACAGAATATGTCCATGCACATATGGCAAATCATGTGGAAATCATGTGGCTTATTTCAATCTTCTTTCTAATCAAAAAATCCTCAAGCAAGAGACAGATTCTTAAAGGGCACATCTTCCTCTCATAAAGGTCAATGACAAATCTACCGTTGATTTCAGTGGAAACAAGATTGGTCCCATAATTATTTACTAACAGATACTATATGTAGGGCTACTGATTTTGTTTTAAAGTATATAGCTAAAGTATTACAAAATAAAGATATGTATATGGAAAGGACGCTAAAAGCCTTATATCTTAGATATGAGCAGTTATTTAATATATGTTGTTCAAAGTAAAAAACTGGATCTTTTATACCTACATCCCCATTATTCAGTCTCTACAAAAGAATTTAAATAATCATGTATCTGATTTTGGTTTCATGTGTTGAAGGAAGCAAACATTCTAATGATTCCAAACAGCTGTCCAATTCCTCCTCTTTTCCTCCTACATTGTGTACATCACAGCAACATTGTTTCATGGTTTAATTTGTTTTCTAGATAGGTGGCTGTCAAACAACTAGATACATCCTGATTTTTTTTCATAGCAAATTAGTTGTTATATTTTTGACTATCACAGGCCAAAATTCAGTCTAGTGTAAGCAGGTGCCATTCCATGGAAGCCACAAAAGTAGTAAATTATTATTAAAATTAGAATCAATGGAACAAAGTTCAAACACTTACATAATTTAGCCCCTTGACTCTAACTTTGATAATTCTCTCCCATGTAGTGTACTCTTTGGAGATACAGTGGGCAAGGGTCTATCAAACTTACATTGTATAGTACCTTAACTCTGAAGAGACCTGTTGATTTCAATGAGACTCCTCAGAGTTAGGTACTACTCAGGGTGAGTAAGGGTGGCAAAGTCTACCCCAATGGAAATGTAAGTAAACTAGAAAAGAATGAAAATAGTTAAAGCCCTGTGTACGTTTTTATAATATTATTTTAAGGACTACAATACAGTGTGCTACCTCGTAATTAACTCTAAATTGTTTTGGGAAACAAGCTATAGGAAAGACACAAGGTTCAAAATAAGGGCCCTATCCTGTGAGCTGCTGACTAATGCTGTGTCTACACTGCCATGCCAGAGTATGATTGCAGCTCATGTAGACATAACCAAGTTAGCTTTAATCTAGCTAACTCTGGTATCAGAGCTGTGACCCTGGGTAATTACTCATGTAGTTAACCCACGCTGAAGCGTATGTGGAAAACTAGCTCAGATATGTCTACACAAGCTACAGTCATGCTCCATGATTACAGTGTAGACGTGCCCAGTAAGTTGAGGGTATACTGCCCCTCAGAGGATTGGGCCCAAATGTTATAGTTGATTCTCTAATGACAATCTTTAAAAGCAAATTTTACGAGAACACTAACATTTTGTGCCTTTGAAAGGACAAAGCAAAATGCAACTCAAAATTAGAAAAAGGGAGGGAAAAAAACCCTCCGCTAAACATTGGGCCCAGACTTGCTCTCATTGATGTCAATGGAAGTTTTGTTACTGAACTCAGTGTGTTGCACTGCTTGAGTAAAGAATGCAGGATCCCAAACATGCAATACATGATTGGACAAATCTGCTCACCTTACTTTCATGAGAAATCCCATGGATTTAATTATAAGAAAAGTGAGGAGGATTTTCCCCCTCCCCATTTAGTCAAATGTTTCACATGGTAAGAGGTAAACAGATTTTCTGTGCCTGGCCATAAACATTTACTATACAAAATGATTAAGATAACATACAAACACTCTGGAATATTCTGGTTTGTGTAACTTCATTTATTCCTCTACAAACTGAATGCTTAGAGGATGGAAAGAGGTTTGCTAAGGGCTGTTTGGAGGCATGCTAACTGCAGTTCTGTTCCCTGATATTCAAATTTACACCTAGCTCCATATATTTAAGATACTGATTCTTATAAGCACACAGATTGAAAAGACAGTATCATCTACAGCAAACATGTTCTCCCCACAATTGATATCTAGAAAACACATAGCAAAGTGTCCCCCACCTTCACGTTAACACTTTGGGTAAGTCTTCGCTGCAAAGTTAACTCGGATGATGCCCGCCCAGGTCTGAAGCGCCAGGTTAGCCTAGCCCAGGTGTGAGCAGCCACCCTCCAAAGCCATGCCTGAGTTACTGGGTACATCTACACTGCAGTGAGGTAGTGAGTCTCAGAGCCCAGGTCAACTGACTTGGGCTTGCAGGGCTCAGGCTATGAGGCTAAAAATACAGCGTAAACATTCCAGTGAGAGGGGGAGGGCCTTAGGGCCCAGGCTGCAGCTTTAGTGGGAGCATCTACACTGTTTGTACACTGTTATTTTTAGCCCCATAGCACAAGCCCAAGTCAGCTGACCAGATCTCTGAGACTCACTGCCGTGGGGGGTTTTCTGCAGTGTAGACATACCCTGTTTCCTCACTGGTGGTGCACTCACCTGTGTGTGTCACTGGGATGGCCATGGGCATATCCCATGTGTGCTGCAGTAAGCTGAGCTGCTTTATGATTCTTTCCCAGCCCTTCTGCACATTGAGGGGAATTGTGGGAAGGCATTAATAGACTACCAGCACTCGGGTGGGGATTTAGCCTGAGTCCTCAATGCAAAGTGGGTGGGTTACTAGCCTCAGTGAAAGCAGCACTTGCCCTTGAGCCTACAGCCCCAGACAAGCCAGCTAGCCTGGGCTGACGGCACCTCTAGACTCAGGTGAGAGGTTTTTGAGTGTAGACAGGAGGGGGATTGGGGCAACACCCAGGTAAGAGCCTGAGTTAATTCTACAGTGAAGATATACCCTTTGCTAACCGTGCAGTTGTTGCATGTTATCCCAATCACAGAAAGAGTAGGTGGACCTGTTCTTGAAGACTACTGACAATGAAGTTTTTGCCACACTTTATTATTTTTTTCCAGATGGTTGCTACAGGCAGGGGTGGTGTTGAGAGATTTAACTGCACACTAGAAAGCAAACTAAGATGATGGCATGAAAGGTGTATCTGAGAACACCGAGTTGACAGAATCAGAGTCAGATTTTGCTCGGGTCGTTTTCAAGATGCTCTCTGCTATGACAGTTTCTTTGGGAAACAGTCTCACTTTCCCATTCTGCCCCTGTTTTGGCTCGTTCACAGGCTCAAGGAACACCACTCTCTTACCACTGCTGGATTTCTTCTCATCGGCTGGAGGATCCTGAGATGGCGTGGAGTTTAGGATGGATGAATGGGCACTGCTTTGGGGCAGCTTCCTTTTTCTTCTTCTTGTCTTACACTGACAAGGACATGGAGTCAGATAGAGATAAAGCAGTACCAAAATAATACTGGCTACACAGGCAGCAAGGGTGGTGAAAGCAGTGTTAAATGCTTCATGAGCATGGGATCTGTTCACTGTGAAATTGCTTACATTAATTCTAACCTCTATGGTTTCATTTAACAGTCTTCTTTTATTTATTGCAATGCATGAATACAGCCCAGAATCCTCTAGCTGGGGATCCATTATCTCTAGACTCCCATTGTGAAACACCTTAAAATTGTCAGTGTCCTTATCTGGCTCCAGTAATCTATTGTCTGGGCTAACCCAGATGAAATATGTTCCTGCATCACTAATTTTGCTGTCACAGTGTACAATCAGCCTTTCTCCAATTTGGGCCTCATGAATAAACCCAAAGGCATGGAATGACACATTGATGGTGCTTTCGGAGCAATTCAGAAAGTTGTCGTGCAATAAAGGCAGTTTATTGGAACCTTTGGGATCAGATCGTAATACACAGGCATACTCATTTTTGAAATCCACAACTGAGTTGAAGTGTCTGTGATACCAATAAATTAGCATGGAGTATAGAGTACAGTCACAGTAAAAAGGGTTACCATGAAGATAAATTCCACTGAGTTGTTTGGCCGGCACTAAACTTATGCGTTGAATGGGTACTGACTGGATGTGGTTATAGGAAATGTCTAATAATACAAGTTCTGTAAGTTTGTGTTTTCCAATATACAAGTCCAGTGGGAAGTGTGACAGTGAGTTACAACATAAGTACAGCTTCTGCAATTTGTATAATCCTCCAAAGGCAGCAGAATCAATCTGTGTTATCTGATTGTTGTAAAGCAAGAGAACTTCCAGTACTCTCAGCTCTTGAAATAAAGGGCTTCCCAGTGTCTTCAGGTTGTTGGATGACAAGTCTAGGTACTTTAAATTTGGAGTTGTGGAAAAGCTTCCAGTGATAATACTGCTAATACTATTATGATTGATTATTAAAGTATTCAGTTTGTCAAAAAGCACTGGGACCCATTCAGGTTCCAAAAATGCAATTCTGTTATAACTCAGATCCAGTCTTTTTATGAATTTGAAGAGAGTTCCTGGCACCCTAGAGAGGTTCTTATTGGTGCAGCTTACAATGTCACTAGCACAGATGCAGGCTGTAGGACACAAGCCAGAGGCACTGCCACATACACTTATTGTAAAGACCAAAAGGCATAGCAGTCCTTTGCCGTTCAGTTTAAGAACACCAAGTCGAGTAGAAATTGTCTGGCAGCTTAAAGACATTATGGCTCTCTCTTAGCCGTCTCCCAGTTCTCCTTGCCACAGATTATACATGTAGTTAGCCTTGCACTAATCTCTGTTAAAAGAGGAATACAGAAGTACAGAATGTTAACACATAATGTTCACACCCCATTTGGTTTCCTATGCAGACCTTCTGAACAAATGCAGCATTTTTAGTGACTGAATCCCTTCCATTTCACGTTTAGTTTTCAAATCCATTATTTCCTAGGCCATGATTATCAACTTTTTTTTTTGCATCCGTTAGATTTTGAACCCACCTGCAAATTCTCATATTACAGACCTATCATTTTTTGCTCTCCCTTCAAAAAATACTACCTGTTCTCAGCCTCCTTGCTCAGTACGTGCAATTTCTGACAGTTGAGAGAGAATATTATAAGAAATGGCAAGGTAAGTATGCAATTTCTGAAGGATTTCACTGTCATCCATGTTCCCAGTCCTGGTCCAGGGATGCAGCTTCTGACGCAAGAAAAATAAATGGCTTGCTCCACACCAGTGCTCTTCTTTTCTCTAGTGGGGAGCAGTTTTTGATGGGTGTTTCTTCCCAATCAGGAAATGTTACCCACTTCCAAACCAATAATGTTCTAATCCACTATTTAGTTTTAAATGTCAAGAGAATTCCATTTGTTGTTGTTTTAATAAATTACTGCACACAGTGCAGGGAGCAACACTTGTAGTTAAGATTGCCCAATACTTTCCATTATAAGAACCTATTTTCTGTTTGCCACACTAACCGTTCAGGCTGAAATGTTCAATGTGAGGTATCTGCCTCAGGTTGTATTTTTTTGAGTTTCAGCTAAAATGGTTCAGCTGTTTCTCAGAATTTGGTTAGGAGAAAAATAAGATGTTTTGCTCTTGTTAAAAAAAACTGACTACTATTTGATTGCGATGTTTTAGAGCCTCCATGCTTTGGAGCAGAAACTTGAAATTTAGCAGGGAGGTCACCCTACTGCCAGGAATGTGCCTTATGCCATCTCCATGAAAACACACCCAAATTTGGCCAAATTGTAACCCCTGAAAAAAATCTCAATTTGCACATGCTCAGTAGAGATGTGTAGAGGTTAGCAACTAAATTATTCCAAGATTCCACCTGCATTGAGCATACTGCTTCCTCTCACAGCTGGGAACTGCACTGCCTGTACACTGTCCCCACAGAACGACTCCATCTCTGGCAGCAGGATCTGAGCAACTGCTGCTGCAGGCCACAAGAACTGAGAGCAGAGAGACTGTCCCTCCTGTGCTCTCAGTGCTCCCCCTTCTGGCACCCCGGCAGCCTGGAGGCAAAGGAGGAAGCTGCCTGACTTGAAGGCTGAGGGATAAGGAAGGGGGGGAGATGAGGGGGAAAAAAGATGCCGAGCAGGGGGACAGAAGCTCAGGGGGAAGAGGGATAGGAACCTGATGGGGTGGGAGGGTTAGAAACAGGAGTGGGAGGAGGGGCAGAAGATGGAAGGGAATAATAGGAATAGTGAAAGGGATAAAGTTTGGAGCAGAGAGAGGAGCCATGGCAGGGAGGGAGAAAGAGGTTAGGAGTGGGAGGAAACATGGGCAGGAGCAGGGGACACAAGTCAAGCCCTTAAAAGCTAGGAAGTGCCAGAAGTAACATTGCCTGTGCAATCTTAATTTAGCCACTTTGTGCATATGCATTATGATACAGTGTTTAATTACATGACCACATCTTACTTTTTTTTCACAAGACCCCCACCTTACACGAGATGGAGTGAGTGAATCAGGGTTGTGCAGGGAAGGAGGCTGTTGTCTGCAGGAGCCCTGCCTCCTTTGTTGCCGAAGTTGGCAGGTGTGTAGTGAATGAGGCATGGGATGGCAGGAAGAGAAAAGAAGGCCTCATTGTTAAGGCACTTAAATGTTGTCCTGGAAAATGAGATTCTATCCTTGTCTCTGCCACAGAGTACCAATGATGTCAGGCAAGTTATGTAAACTAAAATTTGTATAGGTGACCACTGTGTGTTCCTCATTTTCTGGATACCAAGATGGGGTCTGATTTGCAGGAGTGCTGAGTACTAAGAACTGCACTGAGGTCAATGGCAGCTCTGCTCTAGACATATAAATTACTACAGAATACTGAGTACTCTGAAAAACCAGGCCTCAGGTTTCTCAAATTGGACACCCAACGTCAGTGGACACTTTTGACACTACCTCAGTCCCCTATATGTAAAATGGAGATGATAATACAATCCTCACCTCAGAGGGGTGTCGTGAAGATCAATTCACCAGTCTTTGTAAAGAACTATGATACCATAACCAGAGCACCATACAAAAGCCCATGAGGAAATAAATGATTTTGTATTCAGTACAGGGTTTGGATGGTTGTGGAGTAAATAATACATGAGACCACACATTGAATGATGAGGATAAAAAGAAATATTCAGCAGCTGCTCATTCAGTGAGCACCATCCATAATGTGCATCATAGGAATCAGGGATGCCGCAGAAAAATAGTATGTGATCATGTAATTAAAGACTGTAAGGCTGCAATGGATTGCATTTCCTAACTTTTCAGTGGTTGGTTTTGCAACCTTTGTAGTCTTAACACTCTTTTCACATAGTGGGTTTTTTTAGTGTAATACCATTGGAGAATTTAAAAATAATTCCCATCTGAACTATAACTGGAATCCCTAAGGGCTGGTCTACACCCAGCCGCTAGTTCGGCGGCTGGGGATCGATGTTCTGGGTTCGACTTATCGCATCTGGTCTGGGCGCGATAAGTCGAACCTGGAAGTGCTCGCCGTCGACTGCGGTACTCCATCTCAGCGAGAGGAGTACCGCGGAGTCGACGGGGAGCCTGCCTGCCGCGTGTGGACCGCGTCTGAACCGCGGTAAGTTCGAACTAAGGTATGTCGAATTCAGCTACGTTAACGTATTGAATTTGCGTACCTTAGTTTGAATTGGGGGGTTAGTGTAGACCAGGCCTAAGATATTCTAAATTGGATGCAATTAATTCTGTTTTGGAAGGGTGAACAATAAGATACATAGGCTTCTATGTATGCTTCCATCCCTATCCACTGCCATTTCACCAGACAATTTTAATTTCAGTGCTAAGATATTTTATAAGGGATATTGCTACGTGGGAAATATTATTAGCTAATATTTGTCATTGACAATAGAATATTTTGGTAACGTACACATAACTGCTTCACAATAAAGTTGGATATGTAATTTAGTAGGAAACATTTAACAAAATATGATTTATGGTAAAAAATGAAGAATGCATGTGGACTTGCATTAGAGGATAACAATATGTGGTGTTAAGTGTCTTGTGTTTATATTTTGAGTTTATTGATTTAAAATTATAGTATTTATAGAGATAAGGTGGCTGTGTCTTGATGAAATACACATCTCTGTATACTTGATAGGAATTATGGGCCAGATTCTCAGGTGGCACGAACAGTCCCTTTGATTTCAATGGAGCTATTTACAGCGACTGGGGATCTGGCGCAGTCTTAGATTTTTGGTCTGGTTTTTAGAGGTAATGGGTGCTCAGCACCTCTGAAGATCAGGCCATGTATGTCATCAGTGTAAGATTTAAGATGTCCTCAACTAGTTAATGGCACAAACCTTGACACCACTTTATGTCCTCATATCAATGTCTCCATGTCTTCTTCTCTGCTTCCTCCCATGCCTAGAAAAATCTCTCCAATTTGCACACCACCTCTCTTGGCTCACTCAAGTCCTCCTTAAAAACTCACTTTTACCACAAAGAAGTGAATTATTTAAAATTAAACGTAAATGTCTGTTCACTAAAAAGTGTGCACAAAGTGAGCTGCCACATATCATCTCAAACTTCTCCTCACCTCATCTGTATTCTCCCTCCTTAAAACATGATTGTCTAGACAAATAAGTAGGCAGCTGGCATGCTATAGCTGCTGCTTTAAATGTTTGCCAGAATTGTTGGATTGTCTCCATATGCTCCCCATCTGTTTGCTGCATTCACCTGTTGTCTCTTGTTTTATACTTTGACTGTAACCTCTTCAGGGCAGGTTACATGTTATGTACAAAATACATGTTGTTACGTATGTGTACAGTGCCCCATACAGTAGGGCTTTGATCTGTGACTGGGGTCCCAAAGTGCTAACCACAGTACAAGTAATAATAATAAATCCTAGATTGAAAAATCTAGGCAGGGAATCCCCCTACCTAGCTGTTGTGTGAAGAGCTGAGCGCAACTTTGGGCATGGTACAAACAATAATATTGCTCATTCCCTTGCTTGTAAGTGCTTGTGTTTTGTTAGTGATGGGATGAGGAACCATGTTAGAACTTCGTAATTCTAACTGGTCAGGAAACCAAGTTTTCTAATGAGTTTTTTTTCCTTCTTTTTGAAAACGGATATAAATAAATTAAGATTCAGGATAAAATTTTCAAAAGCACCTAAGTAACTTAGGAGGCAAGTCCTATTTTTCAAAATCAAATTTAAAATCAGTAGGCTGTGAAGTCATTTAGGTGCTTTTGAAGATTTGTATATCTAGTCTTAAATATTAAATACATTTGATTATAAGCTCTTTGGGGCAGATACTGCATCTTCCTATGTATTTGTACAGCACCTAGCACAATGGGACTCTAATTATGACTGGAATGTTTAGCATTACTGTAATTCTAAATAAATAATTACACACACAAAAATTAAATGCGAGGGCCATTATTATGTTTGCAGAGTTAAGCACTCAAAAGTTAGAAAATGCCAGAATTCAAGTTGCCTCTGCCAGTCCCAGTCTTTCCTCCCCTCCTGCTCCCAGTTCTGTTCTTCTTGCCCACCATTCCCAGTTCCATTCCCTTGTCCCCAGTCTCCTTGCCCACCCCATCCCAGTTCCACCCCTCCTGGCTCCTCACCTTATCTGTCTCTCTCTCTCCCACCGCACCACTGGTCTCCAATCATCCCCTGTCCCGCACCCATGTTCCCTTTCCTTACTGGCTCCCAGTCCCAGTCTCCCTCCCCTGGCACCTCATCTGAGTGTGACACCCAATCTAATCCCACCTGTACCAGTAATTAAGCATAATAGTAACTGAAATGAAATGCTGCTGGGAAGACAAAAGTATTAACATTAGCATCTTCCTTGTATTCCTTTTTGGATTAAATTTAACAAGCCTTTTCTCACACACAAGGTATAATGATTTGATTATTGAAAATAGACAAGTATTATTTTAAAATAAACCTACTTATATGAAGTACAAATATTCTTTTAAAATCCTAAATTTAGGGATCCTGCATGTGCATAGTGTTAGAGCCATCAATTAGGAATAGTCCATTTAGATGAACAAAAATATTTAAGACCCAGTTTTTGCAAAGGTTCCACATTGGCCCTCTTGAGGAATCAAGCCCCAAATATTTTGATTAATCTTGGAAAATTGATCATTCTCTATGGAGGGCTCCAGCCCTGTGTAATGTCACATACACTTGCATTCATGGGGGATATTGGTCATGGGGAAACTTCTGGGGTTTCTGCCAGGAGCCTCATAGCTCCGTTTTTTCCAGTTCCATGCTTTTGCTCTGCCTTTGATGGAGCACTGCAGATAACATTTTTTGTTTTTTTGTTTCTTTCAAACTGATTATGTTAGGATTTTTTTTTTAAACAAGACTGTTTTGGAATATTTAACCTTTTGGGGTGGGAAAGACACTAACTGACTCAGATCTCCAGTGAGCAGCTGCACTCAGCAGCTCTGATAGAGCAGAGCTAGATTATCTAGGCATCGTGTGCACCTGGACGAGTGACATGATGGGGAGATGAGGGGACACTGTTACTGAACTACAGAATGGCTGAGGCCTACTGGGCTACATGCTTGAACAGGATTGAGCTGCACTTGCAGGACCCATTGGGGTGGTAAAAATAGCTTTACATCACCTTTGCATCAAGCTGATCCTGGGGTCAGTTTGGTGACCGGTTCGGTTCCTAGTGCAGCCTCAAGCCAGCATCTAGCTGCAGTGACCCTCAAGATGTGGTGGTGGAGAGTCAGCTTTAGCAATAGTGACACTAAGCAGACCTAAGCTTTGTCTTCACTGCTAAAAAAAAAAAAAAAGCTTGGGTAACTAACATGTGTGAGCTATCCCACTGTGGGACAATGGAGACAAAGCAGTTTAGTTCTACCTCAAGGTAGCTGGCGAGGTGAGCACCAGTTTACCTCGCAGCAAAACTAAAGTGCCTTGTCTCCACTGTGTTTTTACAGAGGGATAGCTCACATGCATTAGTTACTCCATGGTACAAATGCTGTTTTAGTGAAAACAAGGCTTTAGTGGGGCTGAAGACCTGACCCATCGAGACAGCCACCTCACAGACCTCATTGGAGTTAGACTAGGGATGAATTTGGCCCAATAGTCTTACCCAGAGTGCCGCCTCATGCATAGCAACACATCACAAAGGGACTAAGTAAAGCCATCTTTTCTCCATCTGTATGCATAGTGCTTGGGGTGTCATTTAAGACTGAGAGTTTCCCCGAGACATGTTTTTTCTACTAAAGATAGCTCATTTGGCTTACATGAGCTAACTGCCTGAGAAATGGGTGAACAAAAGGGTGGGGGTGCCAGAGAGCCTGGATTGGGTTAGATACAGAAACACCAGCAATATCATGTATAGGAAGTCAATCTCTGCAGCTCTTCTCAGTTTATATCGGTGCAAAAAATGCTGATGCCCAAGGCTCTCTGTAGTACAGACCCTGCTACTATGGCCTTAATTGCCAAGCAGATCATCAGATTAATGGAAACCTGCCTTTCCCCATGGTAAACTGCAGCCTACTGGTAGTGGTGTCAGATTTCGGTCAGTCTCCAAGCAGTGACATTTTCTGCAAAATATAGCCCAGTTTAGGATTCTCAGTGTCTCCACAGGCTTTTCTGATCATTTAAACTAAACTTTAGGGGAAATGTTCACTTATTATTCAAACATTTGTTTTTAACTTTTTTTTTTAAACTGCAGCGCTCTTTTATGTGGTGTCTCCTTAACATCCTCCTACAGCTAAATTTTACTATGTAACCAAGCTCTAAAGTTGCTCTGGGGAAGGGGCAGTATCAGGACTGAGTGGGGTGATTTGAACTGACAGGATCTCCTGCTCTGTAACAGGCTTAGCTCACAATATGAAAAATGCATAGATTACTGATTCTCAAAATAGCGTTGTTTAATTTCCTTGTTAGCTGTCACTTCTGTTACTTAAAGGTCAAAGCATAGTTAAATATTTATTTTAGGAGGGATTTTAAATCATTTACTGTAGAGGGGTTTAGAAAATGGTTACCCCCATGCACATACTCAAAGTTTTAGAATGAACATCTCTTATGAAACTAACAAATTCCCCATGGCATATAAAGAGGTGGTGGCTTTAAACCTCACTGAAGAGTTAGGAGTGATTACCACAGTTTAGGTTTAGGAAGATCCTTAATGTTGAACTTTTTCATTCCCGGGGGGAACCCCCTCTTTCTCCTTGTCTATCTTTCCCCCTCCCTTAGGGAAGACTATTTTTCTCACTATGCAGTGATGCTCAAATTTACCACAGTCTAAAGTCTCTCTCCCTTCCTTTCCCTTCATCTCTCCTCATTTTTGCGTCTTTGTCCCTTCCTCTCCGCTTCTTTTTTCCCCTTTCTCTGTATCTCCCCACCTCCGCCCCCCTCCGTTCAGAGCCCTGGCTTTGCTCGGGGCAAGGATTCGGCTGGCAGGGAAGGGCGCCTTCCTTGTTATCGGGCGGGCTCACGGCTCTGGGGCGTGCTCCTGAAGAGGGAGCGAACCCAGGCGCTGCTCCGGGGCTGCCTGCTAGCTCCAGCCATACCCAGCAGGAGCAATGCATCCAGATCGACGGGTTTTGCCGTCGCCTTCATGCCTCTGCCCGTAGAACCCGCCCGGTGCCGGGGCACGGCCAGGGCCCGAGAGTTCCCATTTACCCTGCCACAAAGGGCATCTGGAGAGGTCCGCCAGAGGCTGCACTTGGCAGGGTAGGAGTCGGATTACCTGGGGGTCCAGGCAGCCTCCTGGGGAGGAGCAGCGGCCGCTCGTTCATCGCAGGGGGCAGGGCGGAGCCGGAGGCGTGGGGAGCGCTGGCCCTTGCCCTGCGGCGGCGTCCAGCCCTGCATGCTCTTTGCCCCGAGCCTGCTCCAACTTTGAGGACGGGCGGAGCCGGAACGGGAGCCGGGCGCTCTGGCCGCACAGCGAGTCCCTCTTCGCTTCGCAGCGGACGCCTGCCTTCATCTGCACCGCAGGGACGAACAAATGCGGAGCCAGCCGCCGCCTCCGCCCCCCGGCAGCGGGATTGGTTAGAGCAGCGGGGGGAGGGACCTGCCCCACCGCGGGTAGCCAGTGGCCGGGAAGAGGTCGGGGAGAGGGACGCGGGGTGCCCGCGGTAGCCACGAGGCTGTGGCTGAAGTGGCAGCGAGGAGTTCAGCGCTGCTGCGGTGATGGGGTTTTTATTCTCTCTTCCCCGCCTCCCTTATCCCGGACCCGATCCTGAGCCCGATCCCACTGAAGTCAGTAGCCCAGCTGCGAATCGGGCCCTTGGTTTCCACTGGAGGAGGGGCAGCTCCTCCTCCTTTGAGCCGCGAGGGGGGCTGTGGTATAGCGGGGCGGGGAAAGGCGTCAGGGGACCGGAGTAGTCGGAGCTCCCGGCAGGGATTTCACAGGGGAGAGCCGGGGACGTTCCCAGTGCGGAGCGAAGTTGCACCTGAACAGATGGAGGCACGTGTCTGTCTGTCAAGTGCGCGGAGCTCAGCGAGCCTGGGGGCGGAGTGGGGCGTGGGGTGGCTCCTGGCCACATGGGCTTGGAACAGGAGTGCTGAGGCTAGCGCCCCCGTTAAGGGTGTGTTGGGAAAGGGAATGAATGGGGCAGTTTAAACACGGACAGCGGTCCGATCCTGCAGCCCACGGCTCCCCTGAATAAACTAGTCCCGGGAGCAGGCATTGCGGCACCGCGCTAGCATAGACACACGCGGAGGGGGGCGTCGCAGCTCCCTCCTCTCCTGCTGTCTCGCTAGATGCAGATACGCCGGGAGCGGGGTCCTCTCGTTCCCTGGGTACATGTGGTCACGACGGTAAAAATCCCCGAGTCAGCCGGAGCTCTGCTGCTGCTAGCTGCACTGGGGGCTGGGGATCGGGCTGGGGCGCGCTTCTCTCTCGCTGAGGCAGCGGCTTTCAGTACACAAAGCACCAAGGAGGAAACACGAAAAGGGCAGCTGCCTGCCTTAATGCTGCTGCATCATGTTGGCCACGGTTGATCTCCTCGCCAGCCCCTCTCAGCCTACCCCTGGGCACAGGCAGGGGCTTCCCCAGACTCTGGGGATAAGTTCACTGAAGCCGCAGCAGTAGCTGAACAAGGCAGCTAGGGTGACCAGAGAGCAAGTGTGAAAAAGCGGGAGAGTGGGGTGAGGTTACTGGGGGACTAATCGGGCGATATAAGACAAAGCCCCTAGCAATTGGGACAGTCCCGATAAAATGGGGACATCTGGGGACAACCTAAAGCAGTGGTTTTCAAACTTTTTAGGTTGCTTACCCTTTTCCAAATAATGTAGTTTACTGCATACCCCCATCTGAGATAGGCAATGGTGACGTGAGGGAGAGGGGAGGCTCATGGGTCACCTGCCACTCCCAGATTTCTGCCTTCTGTTTAGCAACAGCGTCTCAAGTTTTTCAAACTGTGCGGCATACCCCTGTATGGGGGCATGGAGGAAGGTGGAGGGGGGCGCGTCGTGATGCCAGGTGACTCAGGCCTGCTCCCTGCAGTGGGGCTCCTGGAGGGAGGGACCGCCACCTCCAGCCTTTGACACCTCAGGAGGCCACCCAGCCTATCTGGGTTGGGAGAGGGGCACAACCCAAAATTATAACTCAAAGGGGGCACGGGGCTGGTCCAATCTGCCTGGCATCACTGCTCACCCCCCCATACTTTCCTGCATGCCCCCCTAAGGGGGTGCGTGCCACAGTTTGGAAACCTCTGTACTAAATAAAAATGCATTGTCTGCCATTACAGGATTTTTCTTGCGTACCCCCTGACAAGGGCTCATGTACCCCTCCTGGTACATGTACCCCAGTTTGAAAACCACTGTCCTAAAGGCAGCACTGCTGAGTCATCCCCCAAAGCTGTGGCCTCCTTAGAAAGAGGTGACAAATCTGAAGAAGTGTCCCAGATTGAGGTGTCAATAAAGGAGATTTTGGAACAAATTGATAAATTAAACAGTAATAAGTCATTAGGACCAGATGGTATTTACCCAAGAGTTCTGAAGGAACTCAGATATGAAATTGCAGAACTACTGACTGTGGTATGGAACCCATCACTTCAATCAGATGACTGGTAGCTGGCCAATGTGATGCTTATTTTTTTTAAAAAAAGGCTCCACAGGTGATCCTGAAATTATAGGCTCAAAGCCTATATCTTCAGTTCCAGGCAAATTGGTTGAAACTATAGTAAAGAACATAATTTTCAGACACACAGATGAACATGATTTGTTGGGAAATAGTCAACATGGCTTTTGTAAAGGGAAATCATGCCTTGCCAATCTATTAGAATTCTTTGTTGGTGTCAACAAATAAGTGGACAAGAGTGATCCAGTGGATATAGTGTACTTGGATTCTCAGAAAGCCTTAGATAAGGTCCCTCACCAAAGGCTCTTGAGCAAAGTAAGCAGTCATAGATCAGAAACTGGTTAAAAGATAGGAAATAAAAGGTAGGAATAAATGGTGATTTTTCACAATGGAGAGAGGTAAATAGTGGGGTCCCCCAAGGATCTGTATTGGGACCAGTTCTGTTCAACATATTCATAAATGATCTGGAAAAAGGGGTAAACAGTGAGGTGGCAAAGTTTGCAGGTGATACAAAATCACTCAAGATTGTTAAGTCCAAAGCAGACTGCTAAGAGTCACAAAGGGAATCTCACAAAACTGGATGACTGGAGAAGAAAATGGCAGATGAAATTCAGTGTTGATAAATGCAAAGTAATGCACATTGGAAAACATTATCCCAGCCATACATACAAAATGACAGGGTCTAAATTAGCTGTTACCACTCAAAAAAGAGATGTTGGAGTCATCGTGGATAGTTCTCTGAAAACATCTGCTCAATATGCAGCAGCTGTCAAAAAAGCTAAGAGAATGTTAGGAATCATTAGGAAAGGGATAGAAAATAAGACAAACAATATCATAATGCCACATAAATCCATGGCATGCCCACATCTGAATACTGTGTGTAGTTCTGATCGTCCCATCTCAAAAAAGATATGTTGAAATTGGAAAAAGTACAGAGAAGCGCAACAAAAATGATTAGGGCTATGGAACAGTGGCCATATGAGGATAGATTAAGAAGACTGGGACTGTTCAATTTAGAAAAGAGATGACTAAGGGGTGTGTGTGTGACTGAAGGGACCTCTGTATTCACACTCTACACACTACTGTAATAATCTTTGTACAACATATGCCTTGTGAGGTATCATTTGAAACTAATAACTTTCTGCTCAATAATATCATGGTAACATGTATGTAGCAACATTATATGTAAAGTTATGAACATAAGCTGAAATCATGACTGACATATGTGTACCAGATAAGTCCAGGGAATGAGTAAACCTGTTTCTCAAAGATGAAGGACAAGTTGATGCCCGAGTCAGGTGTCATCAAAGTTGATGGGCCTTCACCTATCAAGTGGCCATTCTTTGGCAAGGAAGGGGGATGGGCTGGAACAAACATATCTGCTCTTAGCAAACAACAGCATGAAACCTCTCCCCCCACCAGACCCTATGTTTCCTTTCTTTCAGCTGGAAAGAACTTTATCTAGGGGTCTCTCTCAGGTAAATGCATTTCAAAAGGTGAATAAACTATAAAAGAGAAAGCAAAAACACCCGAAGGTATCTTTCCCTATCCATCTCTCTTTTCACTTAAAAGACAAAAGAAACAGCCACTGGAATTTGGGAGCAGTTCCTCCTGAGAGTTTGGTCAGCAATGTACTGAAACCGTGTGGTAAGGAAGTTCACTTTGAACCAAGTCTAGTTTGTTAAGTTTAGAAAGAGCTTTATCTTTATTTTTCTTATAATCCTTCCTGACTTTATGCCTCATTACTTGTACTCAGTTAAAATCTATCTCTTTGTAAGTAAATACACTTGTTTTATTCTTTAATTAGAACTAATCCAGGGTTGTGAATTGTTTGGGTAACTCTATTTAAGGTAGCAGACTGTTGTATGTTGATGCCCTTAGAGGGGCAATGGACCTAATATATCTGAACTATCCAGGAGAGGGCTGGACAGTGGAGGACAAACGACTTTGGGGGAAAATCCAGGACTGAGAGTACATTCAGGTCACTCTGCAAGTAGTAACCAAGGCTGCTGGAAGCCAGAGTGTGGTTGGTGTTTGATGACAGGCTGCTGGGTCAGAGTTGGGAGACCAGGGCTGTGACTGTACACAGCACTCAGGGTGTGACCTGCATGCTGTTTGGCTGTTTGTGAGGAGCCAAGGTTGGGAGTTACAGCTGCAAAGCACTGTGAGGCACCTTAGGTTGCAGGGCAAGTGGTGACACAGCCCCTCACTGGTCTGGATTGTACCCTGGAATGTCATAGGAGGATATGCTAGAGGTCTATAAAATCATGAATGGGTGTGGAAAAAGTGAATAAGGAAGTGTTATTTACCCCTTCACATACCACAAGAACCAGGGGTCACCCAATGAAATGAATAGGCAGCAGGTTTAAAACAAACAAAAGGAAGTACTTCACAAAACACACTGTCAACCCGTGGAACTCATTGTCAGGGATGTTGTGAAGGACAAAACTATAACTGGGTTCGAAAAAGAATTAGATAAGTTCATGGAGGATAGGTTCATTAATGGCTATTAGCCAAGATGGTCAGGAATGCAGTCCCATGCTCTGGGTGTCCTTAAACCTCTGACTGCTAGAAACTGGGACTGGACTATAGGGGATGGATCACTCAATAAATTACCCTGTTCTGTTCACTCCCTCTGAAGCATCTGGCACTGACCACTGTCGGAAGACAGGATACTGGGCTAGATGGACCATTGGTCTGACCCAATATGGCCGTTCTTATGGTTTTAATAAAATCTGTTAATTGAATCTTCAGTTGCCTCTTCAGTATTTGTGCAGGTAGATTAATGCCCATTTGACATTCTTCATGCCTATGCCCCCTTTTAAGGGACAAGGAGGCAGATTTCAACAGGCCTCTCTGGGAA